TGGAAGGCAGGGTGTCCCCAAAGATGTCCACTTCCTTGTTGGAAGAAGATTCCTTCAGCAGGTCAAACCAGAGTGGGAAACTGCTATTGCCCAGGAGTTTTATTATATTTTCAAATAAAAAGGAGTGACATTCTTGCTAGGATGGAAGGGTACATCACATCAGCACCCAGGAATGTCTCATCCAGAGTCCGTTTGGAGTTGGGTGGTGTCTATATTGAATAAATCATCATCACCAACACCAAAGAAACATACCAACATGCTACCCTGGTGATTCTCCAGATTGCCCTCAGCACACAGATCCATAGACTGCTAGCAAAAGTATTGCCATTCTATCTCACAGTCTGAATATCCTATGCATGTCATGTTGAAAAAATAGAGTACATATCTATGTAACCTCTTTTAAACCATCATATATTATATTATGCAAACCTTCTCTTCAAAAACAGGAAAAACTCAAACAAACAAACAAACAAACTTCTCCCTCTCCCTCCAATCTCTTGTGATGGGGAAAATCAAGCTGAAAGTGTTTTTAGTCGGGATGATGATGATCCTCAAAATTCAGCTCTCCCACATTAGTCCTCACTGACTTTTTATATCTCTGAGATTTATGCTTGAGTGTGTCTTGTATTCCAGAGGATATTGCATAAGTCTCTCCTCACCACAATTCAAATCTGCCAAAATATGGAAACCGCCTACGTCAGCCAAATGAAGAAAAATATTCTGGAGTCTCCACAACATAAAATTGCCGTTGCCTGGAATCTGTGTATTGCTTGGCTCAAATCTCTTGGCCTGTCCCTCAGACCAAAAGGTTTGAATTACTGGGCCCAAGATACACTGCATGTGGGCCTGTGGTGCCTGCCCTGGACTCTCCTTCCCAAGGGCAGAGCAAGCAAAAGGAGGGTTCCTCTTCCCACGGGCCAGGAAGAGGAGTCATTAAAGACCAGCCAAACCAGGCCCAGGAGATCTCATGTCTCCAAAGCACGTCTGTTGCTTAATCCTATGCACGTTTATTGAAAAGCAACTTCATTTTTCCTTCTTAAAGCAAAAAGCCATCCAGTTCACTATTTCAAATCAGAAAGAGGTTCCTCAAACCACAAAGATTTTCTAGTTCACACAATGAAAAAAGGAAGATGATAGGGTAATTCATCACTACAGGTGGTCCTCGACTTACAACAGTTCGTTTAGTGATCATTCAAAGTTACAACGGCATTGAAAAAAGTGACTTATGACTGTTTTTCATACTTACAGCCGTTGCATGGCTTTGTGATCAAAATTCAGTTGCTTGGCAACTGACTCACATTTATGACGGTTGCAGTATCCCTGGCTCATGTAATCGCTTTTTGTGACCTTCTGACAAGCAAAGTCTGTGGGGAAGCCAGATTCACTTAACAACTGTATAACTAACCTAACAATTATAGTGATTCACTTAACAAGTGTGACAAGAAAGGTCATAAAATGGGGCAAAACTCACTTAACAATTGTCTCACTTAGCAACAGAAATTTTGAGCTCAGTTGTTTGTGGTCATAGATTGAGCATTAGCTGTAGTGCAGGAGCTTCCTTGATGGCAGGCAACCCATCTTCCTTGCCCCACCATCCTCTTGATCTTTCAGCACTTGCATGGGAAAAAACGATGCTTCCAATGGCAGTGAGTTTAGGCTTTCCGATTCTGTCTGGCCTGAAGAATGATTAAAACTGTCTGTGTCTTTTAGACACGAGTTGGCAGATTTCAACTCAGCACTGATTCACTTGAATGGGGTATTGGAATCCAGGTTGCAATTTCCAGAAAATTATTCTTCCTCCACACAAAAAAAGCTTGAGGGGAATACTAATATTTTTAGGAGATTAAGGATTTCTTCAGAATTTTACTGGTTTGGGATATTATTGATGGAGAATAAATCTGGAATTTAGACCAGCTCAAGATGTCTGGGAAGGAAGGAAGGAAGGGAGGGAGGGAGGGAGGGAAGGAGAGAGGGAGGGAGGGGGGGAGAAGGAAAGAGTTCAGTGAGCTTAAATGGGCCTCATTGTTGTTGAGCCTGCCTTATAGTACTTTGTCACTTGCCCAGTATACAAGTAGTTCTTGTTTAGCAACTGGCTTGTTTAGTGACTGTCGTAGTTGATGAAAAAGTAACTTTTTGATCAAGCCTCACATTTATAAGCTGTGCAGGTTTGTAAAGCAAAGGAAAACTAAAATGAAATCATAAGCAGTATCACAGTTTCACTTAGTGACCACTTCATTTAATAACCAAATTGCCAGTCCCTGTTGTGGGGGTTAAACAAGGACTATCTGTATGCCTTTATCAGAACAGGTATATGTTTTGCAAGTATGCGTTTCCTGACATCACATATTTTATTGCTCCAATAACCAAAATAACCGAAAGCAATTGGGGATTAAGATCAAATGATTATAAAATGACATTGAATGCATGGGGAAAAAGAAAGAATTGTTTTTCTTTGTGGATCAAGCCATAATTTGGAGGTTTTGAAATTTCAGCAGGGGAATGCATTTTTATAAGGGAAGGAAGATAAATCAATAATAATTGTTCTTGCTGTAGGATTTCTGTGGCTCTGATATTCTACAGTGGAACCCATTTCCTTGCCAAGCTCTGAATTTACCATTCTAAGTGCAAAAAAGTGCTGATTAAATCTGTGTGTGTGTTTGTGTGTGTTTATGTGTGTTCGTGAGAATATGTATGAACAGGCAGAAGGGAAGGGAAGAAAACAGCCTTTGGAATGATGATGCCTCTGGCAAAATGCTGAGAACTTTTTATTCTATATTCTGGATGGACTCTTTTTCATGGAAGCTGGAATTACAAGTGATTCCATTTGCTTTTTTCAGATTTAGTTATTGTGACATTTCTTCTTATCTCCAAAGGATCTGGGAGCGCCGTGCTTTGAAATGCATAATTAAAACATTGAAGCCTGTTTTGTTTTGCATTTTAAATGGCATTTTAAATTGAGAAACCAAATCATTTCCTGCTGAATGGCCATGAAATAATGCCCAGGGAATAAGGCTTTTAAAAATAAACAAATATTTACTTCACATTTTGGTCTGTGTTCATGTATGTGTGTGGCCCAGTGTAGCTTTAGGGTACAGATACACTACACTACATTACAGTTGAAAACCAGGAATCTGGAAGCACTTTTTCAAACTAACACATTTTTAGTAAAAGGCAAAGGCTTTTGTGAATTATAGCTCACTTCATCAGATGTACGTAGTGGCTAAACAGATAAAGGATTTAAAGGGGGATGAGATGGTGGCGGAGGATGGGAGGGGAAAGTAGTTTAGTTATGCAAATGCAGACAACTTATGAGATAGATTAACAATATCAATTAACAGTATCAATTTATTATTGTAACGAGTTGAAATCCCAATGTTTATTTATCACATTTATATAGCCACCCATCTCCCAAATGTGATGCTGAATGGCGATAGAAAGAGATCATAAAAGAAACAAACTTCAAAAAATATTTCATAATAAATATATATTAATATTATTTTTAAAAAGACTAGGAGGGAGCATCTTTGATATTACATATAATGTAGCTATCTTACCAGTTCTCCATTTCCCTAAGATCTCCAAGTTTGTTGACACATCCATTTTGAGGGACATCTGGAAGATTTGCTGGGATGGGGCCTAACTCACCTTGGGAGTGATGATGTTCCACAATGTGGGTGCCACAGCAGAAAAGACCCCACCAGCTGTTAATACTTAAATGATGGAACCGTTAACATGCTGGACCTGATGGGATGGGCATAAAGGTGAAGTGGTGATCTCTCAAATACTCTGGCCCCATGCCATATAGGGCTTTAAAGATAAAAAACAGCATCTTCAATTGCAACTGGAAACAAAATGGCAACTGATGCAATCCTCAGAACAGAGTGTAATGTGGGCCATCCTAGGAGCACATAAAACTGTAATGGTGTGCAAGAATGATCTTGAGAATGAGGGGAAGATATTCTTATGTAAGGAACAATTATTAGATAAAATGGTGGGGAGAAGATAGCCCACAGCTGAATAACAGATAGAGAAAGAAACTTAGAAGAGGATCCATCCTATTTATCAGGTGGTAAATAGAGATGGTGGAAGATTTTATACTTTCAAATTTGCAATATTGATGTCAGCCTCCCAAGTAGGCCAGACAGGAAACATGACCAGATGTTTCTACTTTATTGTAAAACTACATTAACAGAGTCTTACAAGTTTGAAAGTATTTATCACCACCTCTTTTTACGGCCTGATAAATTTGGGTGGATTCTTTCTTTGCCCAGTATCTTGGGATATTAGATATGAATCAACAGGGATTTGGTCATCCTTATATATGCACTTGGGGAAGGGCACTATTTTTCCTGTTTTACAGAACTGAGATGGATAGACTTTATGGAAAGCCTGCCACTCACAAAGGTGTAAGCAGGTGCTGAAAAACAAAATAGAGCAAGGCTCTTTCCCACCGGCATCTTCCTAAGGCTACTTTCTATGTACTTGAAAACCCTCCAAGGCAGAGAAGCATTCCAAAAGCAGATGTTCAGTAGATGGCTCTGGAATCTAATTGTTTAATACAGAAAAAAATTAGAGAACAAATGCTGCTTAGGGTGCCTTCGTAGTTCTTGATCTTGGTGGAAAAGGAGTTTGCCTTGAACACAATGTCTTAGGGTATTATACATGAAGGAACTGCAATTATGTGTCTGTCATCGTTTGACTCTTCCGTGTATGCTGCTCATAACTAAGCAAACCACATTCTTCCTAGCCTCCATAATCCCAGCTGTCCCTTCCCTTCTTTGGGGGAAACAAGTCCCAGCTTGATTTGTAGTTGCCTACTAGTTGCTAATCTGCATTGGAAGAAATTAACTCTATAGGCAAACTCACAGCACTCATGGAAGCATAATACTTTTATTTTCATTATAGCCCATTGAAAACACAGAAGCTGACCAGATAATGCTTCTCCCAAACCAGCTTCACCTGAACTCTGCCTGGATTCTCAACCTTTTTCTATCTTCTTCTTCTGTTCCACATTGCCATCTTAGCAGCAGGTAAGAACATGCCTAATGAGAATTTGGAAGCCAGCCAGAAAAGGGTTGGTCTTCTCTTAATAATACAGTAATTTCCATTGAATAACACCCCATTTGATGCTCTGCTAGCAGTAAAGATGGGGATAGATGTTTTGTGTAACCTCCTTCCTCTCTTTCCCATGCCTTCCAGCTCTAGACATCTCTCAGTTATCAAGAAATGTGACTGATCAAGAGGACATTATCTTTCAAGGGAGATTTTGAAAACTTCTCCTCCTGGTTATTGTTCCCACCTCAACAGATCAACAATCTGGATTTAATTCATGAAGCCACTGTGAAGACCAAAGCTTCTCTGGTACCAGGTAGGAAAAGAGCTAGCTCATTTTTGTTTTAATAGGAACTGCTTTTTGGATACTCAGCAACCTTCAGATTCTCAGAGTTCTGAAGTCCTATATTTTATCTGCTTTCATAAAGCCAGGTAATCCATTCATGGCAAATAGAAAATTGACGTTTCATAACCAAAATGAATCAACTGCAGAAGTATACATTAATGCAATAAATTCAGCATACGCAACATCATAGATAAACTTGATTACAATTAGTAATCCTTTTTGATAAGCACAGATTGTTCCACAATCTTTAATTAAATTATCTGTACAATTGATTTGATGAGTGCTCCAATCCGTTTAAGGAAAGCGACATGTGTATAACTTGCTTGGTCTGGAATGGGACATATGCTAGAATGCACATCATGCTGTTTTAGGTATTACTTTATATTTAGACTCCATGCTTGGAGATAAAATATACTTTTATACGAATGTTCAGAGATGTGTCTCCCTCCGTTTTCTGGCATAGTTATAGCTAGACCTCTTTATAAAGTACTTGAGAACAGAAATAGGGTGTAAAAAGCAAAATGTCTCAGATTTGAGAAAAAGCTTGCGAAGCACCATCATTCGCCTTCCTTAAGACTGACAGTTCAGTGGAGGGCAATGTGCCAGAGGAGAAGCTGAAAGCACTCAATCAAAACTATTGCGAATGGCTTGGAAATCTAACAATCAAAGCACAGACCTGGGCTCAGTGTATCCATATTTAAAGGGGGTTGTCTCTAACAAGTTGTCTTTTCTTTGTCTACTTTTAATGAAAAGAAGTTTACTTGTCTTCTCACAATGAATTGTAGATGTAATTTCTTAAATTTGTCTAATGTGAAAGAAAAGTTTGTCCTTGAGGTTTTGTAAAAAGAGTGCAGTTAAGGAACCATGAGTTAGAGCAGCTTATTTCCCCTGTGGCTGGAGAGGGAAGTTGCAAATCCTTAGGACCTTGATGTCCATCAGGTACCTTAAAATAGGAGCTTGTCCTATTTTACATATTTTTACATATTTAAATATTAGGAGAGGCCATTGATCCCTAAGAAAAAGGCTGGAAATAGGCATGGGGAAAAAAAAACCTCTGCATTGTAGAACTGGCATAATATTTGCAGAGAGTAAGTGCCTTGTGATCAGTGAGGCTCTTTGTTTAGCTCTGAGTATTTTGGGCTAAGGGCTACACTTGATCTTATAAGCGACATGTAAAAGCTTAAACCTGATTTTATTTTTTTATTTAATTAAAATTAAATGTAATTAATAGGATTATTCTCTAGTGCTGTATTTAGGGCCCTGGTGGCACAGTGGTTAAGCTGCAGTATTGCATGCAAACTCTGTCCATAGCTTACAGTTTGATCCTGACAGGGCTTCCCTCCTTCCAAGGTTGGTAAAATGAAGACCTAGATTGTTTGGGGTAATATGCAAATAATGCTTCTATATTATAAACCATCCAGACAGTGCTGTAAGACCAGCATGTAAGCCTAAATGCTATTATTAATACTTTCTCCCATGTGTCACATTTAAACTTAATAACTAACCAGTTTTACAGATTTCTGGAGCATCATTAAAGGCTTTTGAGGAATACATATATCTCCTGGAACCTCAGGCAGTACACCTTAGAATTTAAAACAGGAGGATGGGAGAGAAAATAGCTAGGCCACCACCATCTTTTCCCCTCCTCTATGAATATTGGCAAGATTCAATTGCTGTGGAAGCAGCATTGTATGAGGTATTAGCCAACTACTTTTTAACCAAGCCTATATGAATGATACAAAGTGTGGGGTTCTGTGATTCCAGAAAAATGTGTTAATTTGATAAACCTTAACATAGTTAACTATGGATAAATCTGCCATGCAAACCCAGCCAGAGATTCAGAGCTTGTTGATCAAGAAGATCGTTTAGTCCACAGATATGGAACTCTACCTTGAAAATGCAAGGCTAGTAATTCATGTCACAGGGGTGTTGCTTGGTGAATGAGCTGGAGGAGCGAGGCCGAGGGTCACAAGTCTCATGGTGACAATTGGAACATAAATCTGTAGCTTTCTTGACTGGAAGGAATATTGGCGTCTCAGAGACTCTGGACTTGGCTCACCGCCATAAATACCCCTAACTATATGAGACAGCACTAAGAATGCATCCATTTTAAAACATAACCTAAGAATATTTTGATATATTTGTCTGGTGCTGAAAGAATTGGCAGCTGTGCAATGGAAGCACTGCTACTTTTTGAGTATCACGAAGAATCAGGGCTTAAACATATGAAAACAATGTCCATTTGGGGCTCTCACACTCTCCCTTCTCAAAAGGATCTGTCTGAAGCCAAGTTCATGCCTTGTTTATGTCCCAGAGCCAATTTAAATTTCTGCTGGGAAGGGTCTGGGATTTGAGCTTGCAAAATGTTGGGACTGTCTGTTGCACTGTATGCAACATATAATTACAGCTGGAAAGGCCTCAATAGCAGGAAAACACTCCAAACCCATAATTTTTCAAGATCCTTCTTTGCCCAAACCATCTTCAGTTTGTCAACAACCCTGGCAAAACTGTCTCCAGCTTGGACGCAGCTGTCTTGCCAAGGCTGTATTATGTACTAAGGGGACCAATTACAGGCAAGGGGTGAGGTAGGGTGGGGTGGGGTGGGGTGGGGAAAATCCTTCAGGCTGGCTAGCTCAGACTGGGTTAATCGTTATATGGAGTATTTTAGCCCAGGGTTTCTCAACTTTGACAACTTTAAGATGTGTAGCTTTCAAATCCCATCATGATTGGGGAATTGTGGGAGTTGAAATGCATGCATCTTAAAGTCTGCCCTTAGTTTCCGTACAGCCTTTCCTTTGTTCAAATCCGGAATCCCCTGGGAAAGGAAAGAATAAGTAACCTATTTTAGCAATCTGTTGCTTCAAAATGTGTTGAAGTGATTACATGGAAGTTTGGTGGTTGAAGACTTGCGCATCACAAGAACACTGGATTGGGGGAATCTAAGATAAGGCTTAAAAAGAGGCGTATATTTTTCAGACTGAGGTGCATCCTTGACTTTTGAATGGTGTGCTACAGATCATATTCCAAGAAAGTACTGGTCAAGGTCAGGACAAGGGCTTACTTTTGATTTCATTTCATTTACCCTTTAAATAATGTAAAATTAGAGAGTTTTATACTGTGTTCTGTTTCATCGTGTTTTTTATTGTTACCTCAGGGGAAGTGGGGGGAGACATGTCCTGTTACATAAAAGACTTAAATACACCCAATATTCAGGTAACATTGTACAGAGGGGTCCTTGGTGCTCTTTGAGCTTGGTTGCTTTATTGCAGATGTTTTATTACCCAAAAAAGGTAACATCATCAGTACATCTTGTTGTACAGTCAAATGAACTGCTAATAATTTAAGAAGGGGAAAATAAAGAAGAAAATGTGAAAAATAGTGAAAATACAAGGTCAGATTTTGAAGGCCAATTACTCAACATCTGTATATTTGGCTTCAATTATCAAACTAATTAACTAATAATTAGTAATTATCACTGGTCCCTTCTCCTCCCATTTTTCTCTACAGTTGTACATGCTAATCATTTTACATTGTCTTAACTGTTCTTTTCAGTATCTATCTCAGTTGGTAGCTGTTTTTCTCTGATTTGCTAGGTATCTCGTTCAAACGTCTGGCAACCCAAAAGTAATTTCTATAATATTTTATACCAGTTTGTAAAGATGGTAGAGGTTAACTCACTCAAATAGCTCACAACACAAGACAATGAATACACTTCTTTGCTATAGTTAAATAGTGGCTCCCTCAAATCTGCGTATTGACAGGTAAAGATCAGAATTGGGTAGGCAATGGTTTTCCCTGTGACCCTGTATAGAAGTGAAAGTTAGATCTGAAGAAGCAATCTAGAAAAAGGATTGATGTTTTTGAATTTTGTGATGGAGAAGATGCCTGGGAATACCATGGATAGCCAAGAAAACAAAACCAATTGATCCTCAGATAAATTAAATAGACTTTTCACTTGAAGGAGATCATACATGGACATAATATGCAAAAACCTAGGTCACCATGGAAGGCTCTGGTGTTGGAAAAGAGAAAGAAAAGAGAAGATGGGGATGACTAGCAGTGAGGTAGACAGAATCAATTACAGCAACAGTGAGTGCACAAGGCTGAAGATAGATCATCCTGGAGAAAATCTATCTATATGGTTGCTAGGAGTCAGCAGTGACTTGATGGTACATGATCAATCGGTCAAACCTTGATTTGTACAAATCTCATAGCCCTTGTTCTAGATGTTAGCAACACGGGTCAATAGCCTCCATCCAGCAATGTTCGCATGCCAGGAAGTCAAAAGGTAGGGGGAACTATGATTATTTGAAAGGTCTACTTCACTTTCTAACATGTTCTTTTTAAAAATGTAGGGTTTTTTTGTTCTCCATTAATATGCAACATAGTAGTGGCAATATTTTTTCTAGTTCCAGATGAAAATATATATAATTTTTTATATTTTTTCCTCTCAGTTGCAAATAAAAATATATTGTATACACTTTTATTGAAAAATTGCACTGCACACGTTTGAGAAAGGCTAATATAGGAGAATAATTGAATTTCTGTTTGTTTACTAGATTCAGGAAGTGCAAAATTAAGTCAGTTAATATTTTCAGCACATTCTAAACAAAAATATTTTTTCTCCTAAGATTAGTGCTTCTAACTCTTTGCCTTGGGCACTGCCACAATTCTTGGTTCTGTCATACAGCTGAGCTGAAATGCTTTTCCTTATTTTGTCACTTCACAGCAGCCTGCAGAGGAAAGGCAGAGAGAATTGCCTTCATTCTGGTTGGCTTTATGGCAATGCCAGGTAATGACATCAAAGCAATGTGTTCTGCTTTCTAAGACCAGAACATCTATCAGTTCCTTCCAATATAGCCATTGGCTAAGAATTGTAATTTCCCAGAATCTAATGAATGAGGTTCATAGCAACCTCCAGAATTCAGCATCCAGCATTATGCAGCATCCAGTGAAAATTTCCCAACATT